TTTCTACAAAAAAAGTAAATATTTACGTAATCTTGCAACTTTGTGCCAGAGGTCGCTCGTAAATTTTCCAAAAAGCTGCAAAAAAGCAAATTTAAAAAGAATCACCTCCCAACTTCTTGAGCCATATGGCCTCTCCCGCGATGGTGCTGAAGTCGGCACAGCTACAGCAATGGGATGAGGAGTTCCTTCCCAAGAGTAGGTTATGACCGCATAAGCACAACCTTCACCAGTGTTCGTCATTCCTGAAAATCTAGTTCACAGATAGATGTAAGTACAAAATTATTATGTCAGCAATAACTACGGAACAAGTTATGAAATTTTGTTTTTACTACTTCTACTCAACCATCCCAAATTTGGCGCGTGTAGTCTTAAAAAAAAAGCTGTTCTTTACTAAACAAGGCTCCAATTTCGCAACAATGATCGTTTACTCCTGTTTGTAATCATTATCGATAAAAATTTCAGGAGTTAAGAAACCCGTTTTTGACACTTATTTTAGTTAGTATTACTTCAGTGTTGTGTTTGCTACGAGTTTGGTACAGATTTAAAGAGCTACTCGGGCTAGGTTCGCTAGGCTCTGGCGACTTTGACGTAGGCGACGCGCCTTGTTTTGGGAAACAAACCAAGTTCGACAAAAAACGGTTTTATGGGTTCTGAACAAAATCTCTGACTAAGACAGGAAAGTGCAACTATGTTTATGTGCACTTAATTATTGAAATACCTAACAACCATCCTTTTCAAAACCACTTTCATTAGATTACCTAAAAATTAATGCAGTTTTTGAAGCCACTGAGGATCTAGTTCTGGGGCCGGTGCAACAAGCCCCAACGAGGGGATGGGACCCATCCCTTCTCCCCGAGACTTGGGGATATGTCCCCAACCTTGGGATATATCCCAAAGGTTGGGGATACATCTCCAAGATTGAGGGCTTGCTGCACCCGTCCCCTGGTCTTAGATTATGAAACCCTTAAGAAAAGAAACCCTCAGACCCGTTCCTGTTGCGCAAAAGAAGAGCCGACAACTGCTCATACATACGGATCCTCTGTGCAAACTCGTAAGAAGTTCACTGGTCCACCTTTCTTGGCTTCCCAATTCCCAATACTACACCTAGGAACGCTGCTGTTTGTGCAGTAGTGGAATGTGTTTTCTTCCACCAACTTCTTATATTAGGGTAATTGAGCGCAGATCACATGAGCGACCTTTTCATTTTGATGATCGAGCCATCATGAGCTCTTTGAACCAGTGGTAAACAGTTGTTTCGGTGGCATTTCACTGTCTACAGACCACATTTAAGTTTCGAGCTGTTTTTGCTGCATTTCGACGGAAATGGGATTTGTAGAAATATCAGTATCAGATAAATCAAGCAATTAACATTTAGATATGATGAGAACGCATATGAAATGATTTTCCAATTCCCGCCGATGAATTTGTTGCCAGATGTGCACAAAAGGAGCAGATTCGCCAGACGACATTAGCTTTAGGATTTATAAATGCTCTCCATCGAATTTGTTGCTCAGGTCAGAGCCTTCCTTCAGTTAATTGATAATCCAGTCATAGTATTCTCCCACATATCCAATCATAGAGTTTCTCCGACAAATAGCATCCTGTTCGCAACTCATATCGAACAAATCGAGTTGCTATTTTGATTATGTAAGAACTCGAACTGAGAAAATGATGAGATTTCTTTTATCGTCAAGATCGGCTCCCAGACAATACCTAACTATTTGGGCGCGGCCGCGGCGAACGCGTGGTTAGGTATTGTCTGGGAGCCGTCAAGATTTGCCTATGAAAAACAGAAAAAGATGGAGGAATCACAAATATAGACGGAAGGACAAAATATGCATACACCAGCCTGACTTCCAATGCTGGTATATAAAAAAAAACTTCAGTACTCAAAACGACACTTACCACAGAAGATTTTTTTGATGAAATGCCCGCGTTCATCAGTACCTGGATGTATGTAACGATTGCTCTGGACCTATAACAAACTCAGTTCAACGCAGTGCACGAAGCTGTATGGCTAGGGTATGGTTCAAGATAACATCTTTACTAACTTGAACAGTTTGGCGTTGCATGCAATGTGGTTATCTGACGTACATGGAAGGAGGCACACGGAGCTAAGCTCTTTCCACCTCTATACGCCCCGCATCAGCACTTTCCTACTCTCTTTCGCTGGATTCAATCCGCATAGAGCTAGCATCGTTTACTAACACGAAATGCCCACAGCAGGGGTTTTCTGTTTACATCACCTGTACTTGGTACACTTTAGACAATGCTCTACCTCACCTACTCTTTCTGTTCTGTAGACTAGAGAATTGGGTTATGAATGCTTTCAGTAAGCATCGCTCAGACCTCGTTCAGACTCGGCGATTGCGTCGCTGTACACCAGCGACGGAGTCGCCGGCGGCTCCGTCGCTGGTGTACAGCGACGCAATCGCCGAGTCTGACCGAGGTCTCATCTGGAGAGCACTTCGCGCACTGTGGATGGATGCTCCAGTCCGACCATGCAGATGAGTATGTCTCCTTGCTCATTTTTACCTACACTGCGCCGCTTCTGGCTGAGATGGAAATTTTTGTTTGCGGCATCATCCATTTGTTTTTCCTTCCTCGTGTCCATTTAACAACCTCCTCCTTCTCACTCGGATCACATTTTTACTCAACAAAACCTCCCAATCAACTCGTAAAATAAATCTCGACAACGCTTATTCCCTAGACAAAAGCACATCGCTAAAGTCACGCTTGCGGCTACTGACATCCCACAACTAAGGGGACTGCCTTGTCGCGTTGGCAAAGCATTTTGGATTGCGCCCCAAGTCGATGCGTCTGGAATCGCAGAAAGCGATTAGTAGCGCCTGCCTGAACGGTTGAACTTCAATTCAATTTAAAATCATAGCCTTTAATGGAGTACAACGAGCACAAAATCTAACCATCATCCCAGTAGCTCTACCATCGCGAAACTTTCAAGCGTATCCTACCCTGCAAGCCACAGCCGGAACAGTTTTACATATTATCAAGTCCCTCTTCCTACAAAAGTGAGTAAATATTTACGTAGTCTTGCAACTTTGTGCCAGAGGCCGCTTGTAAATTTTCAAACTGCAAAAAAAGCAAATTAAAAAGTAATCACCTCCCAACATCTTGAAGCCATATGCCTCTTCGCGCGATGGTGCTGAAGTCGGCACAGCTACAGCAATGGGATGAGGAGTTCCTTCCCAAGAGTAGGTTATGACCGCATAAGCACATCCTTCACCAGTGTTCGTCATTCCTGAAAATCTAGTTCACAGATAGATATAAGTAAAGCGATACAAAAATTATTATGTCAGCAATAACAACAGAACAAGTTCCGAATTTTTTTTTATATTAGGTACCGGATATCTTAATGTCGTTTTTTCACCAAGAGTATTGGACCAGCAATATTTCAGTTCAAAACCCGGGGAGCGAATTAGTTTAATCATAAAATGACTTACTAGGATCCCCTCATCTAACAGTTAGAGTGGCAAACCTTGCACGATCCAAGCTCGGAATTTTTTGAGTTAAAAAGTAGAGGCAGGTCGGTTTTGACATCCTCTGATAAATCATCCCTGTTACTTGCTTAAAAGTAAGGCCTGGACAAAGTAAGTGTACAGCTGGTTAGCGTAGGGTCTGCATTGCACGACAGAAAAATTAGAACTTATCAGCCTAAGCGGGCAGTTTTTTATGGAGACTTTTTTGCAACATAGGGTCAAAAACGCACCCTTTTTGAGCGCGCGTGAGAGGGCAGGTGAGCACATTTATCAGAATATCTTGCGGAATCAAATCCATAGGAATGTTTGCGCATCATCATTCCATCAGAGTGAAAGTATCCTACCATTTCAGCACAAGTCTGGTGCAGCCCCTTCTCAGCTGGCTTAACTAGGGCCATCTTTTTGAAGACGATTGCCGGCATCCTTTCAAAAACTTCACTGTCTTTTAGGAAACCTGAGGAGAACCGTTGAGCATTCCAAACGGTAGTATTCCTTCCAACAAAAGCAATGTTAGTTTGGTTGGCGGATCTGTAGCTCCCAGCCCGACTTTGATGGCATTTGGTACACACATACGAATTTGCGCAATGAACCCAGGAATTTTCAGAAAAAGGTATAAAAATTGGGGGAGAGATAAATTGTAAAGTAACAATAGGGACTAATAAGCAACATGTTACGTAGTATTAATAAGCAAAGAGAACGTTCTGAGAAACTGATTTTTCATGGTAATTGGCCCCGAAACATCCTGAACTCAGAAAAACGATTTAAATATCCGTACCGTAACTTCTACTCAACCATCCCAAATTTGGCGCGTGTAGTCTTAAAAAAAGCTGTTCTTTACTAAACAAGCTCCAATTTCGCAACAATGATCGTTTACTCCTATTTGTAATCATTATCGATAAAAATTTCAAGAGTTAAGAAACCCGTTTTTGACATTATTTTGGCTTATATATTACTTCAGTTTGTGTGCTACGAGTTTCGTACAGACTCAAAGAGCTACTCGGCTTAGTTCGCTAGGCTCTGGCGACTTTGACGTGGGTGACGCGCCTTGTTTGGGAAACAACCGTAAAAAAACGGTATTATGGCTTCTGGACAAAATCTCTGACTAACACAGGAATCGTATTATAGCTATGTTTTTGCG